TCCCTTTCCGCGTCACGTTTTCCCCTCTTATATATACCAGCGTACCCTCTTTCTAGTAAGAAGTTGAACATTCGCCAAAGTACATGATAGTTCTAGAAACGTTGCGTCACGGTGGTCATGTGACTCGCTGACGCAACAATTCGTTATATAAATGATGTTGAATTCAGGTCTAAATAACTTACAATGTCGTTGTATAGGTAGTTGATCAGGCCACATTTGGAGTATTGTTTTCAGTCTTTGGTTCCTTACCTAAGAAAGGACATTGAATTGTTGACAAATTTTCAAAGAAATGCTACTAGGATGATACCTAGTATGGAAAAGTTGTCAGGCAAGGGTAGGTTAAGATCTCTGAAGTTATTTTCTCCTGAATAAAGAAGAGTTAGAGAAGATATGATTTAGGGGGTTTAAGATTGTTAAGGCAGATGATAGTGTTGATGGATCATCTTTTTTTCGTATATAATGGTGAGAATGGTGTGACTAAAGGACACAGCTATACATTTTGGCAAGGTTGGAGTCATTTTCAGACTTATTTTTCTAACAAGGTGGTTGGCCTTTGGAACGGGCTGCCTTTAAATGTGCTGGATGCAGTTAATTCAAGGGCATTTAAATGAAAGCTTAATAAATAGTTGAATGATAAGGGCTGGTTTTGAACTTTTGCAATATTTGGTTCAATTCAGTGGATGGGACGGCATAGATGGACCAAGTGGTTCCTTGTTCTCCTTTTATGTTATGTTTTGTTATAAACGCTCATCACTTGAAGTATCAATATTTATTAACGAAACAGTTTGTCAATTAGGTTATTTTGGAGTGATTCCTGAAAATTTTGTGAAGTCTGGTACAATATGATTGAATATTAACAAATCTTGCAGTAGGCCAGGCATGGCCAAATAATTAGATTACTCGGGAAATTGAATTCATGATTTCACATTTCGAGTCCCGTTGCCGGATTTTGTGGCTGCGGGTGTGCTATAAGATAATGATTAAATCCCACTACTCTGTCAGATAACAGTGCCGAAAAGCTCTAGTCTATAAAACGAACGAACAATCTTACAGAAGTAATTGCCTATTATCAAGTTATGATAAGTAACTTTAATGTTATAAAACGACTTTTTAACTCTCTTGTATTATTAATAAAATGAAACAAACTTTCTTTCATGTATGAGTGCTATTAGACGATTACTGACGCAGTGGTTTTTTAAAGTTCTATCTATATGACCTTATGTAATAAAAAAAATAAATGTTTTCAAAATATGTTTGTCATTAATGAAAAGGAGGTTGTTTGTATTATAAACTCACTACTTGGTTGACTTCTTAAGAGTGGGAACACTAGATACTTCATGTGCATTAAAACTTTGAAAAATAGTTAAATTACAGAGGTCGAATTTGTTACATTTCCATTTATTTTCTTTTAAAGAAACTATATTCACTTATTTTGGAGATCTGTTTTTACTTTCTGTTGTTCTTTTTGTAAATGGTTCTTTCTCCTTCAGTTATAAATATAAATTTTATATACCAGAATATTAGTAACAATTTAATTTAAAATGATACTGTTAAATCTGAATTTAAAATATTAAAAAGTTATTTTAAATACTACGATTTCTTCAAGAGGGCAATGAAGTAGCTCAGTTGCCATAGTAGCAGTGGAAACATATTTATTATATAACTTTTTAATAACAATGTAGAGAATACTAATTAAAGATTAAACCTTTTTGTGTATTGATATAGGTTTTCAGAAGCTAACTTCAAATTCAAAACTAGTAAAAATTTTGAAAATATGCCAGCCAAAAATAAACCTAAAAAGGAGGTAAGTAAGATTTGACTCGTTAAACAACGTTAACCTAACGAATAATAATAGTTCTGCTACGCCTATTAGTATTACGGTTTTAATAATACAGTATGTAGTGAAGCTTATCATTTATGTAAGAGTATATTACAATTTATATTCTAAATAATAAATAGTATTTCAATTATAATTTGAGTAAAAATAATGTAACTATTAATTATTATTATACTTGATTAATTCCACAATTATCTCTGTATTGCTGCTAGTAGCAGCATTTTTCATACATCATGATTACCAAACATTAATTTAAACATTACGTTCATTATATTTTAATATGCAGATGCTGCATAATTAATAATAATAAAGAACACTGTGGCTAATGAGGGAACATAAAACTTAGAGACTAGCTTCCTTTGACTTAGATTTTTAGAGATTGATTAAATGGTGTATTACTTTTTATGTTTGTTGTTGTTGTTGTTTGCAAATCAAAAATATAGAAACAGAAATTGTCTGAATATGATTGGGATTCAGCAACATAAGAAGAAACTACTAAACATAGCAAACTTGCAAAATGATCTGAAACATCTTAAATTTTGTGTCATGAGTTTATATAAGTAAATAAAAGTTAACAAGAGTTTCGTTTTTTACATCAGAATAAGTCAGAAATCAGGAAATAATCTAAAATTAAAGGAACAGGTATTTCCTTGTAAGTTCTATATTAAAGTCTGTAACAAGAATGTGTGGTTTGCTAGAGAGAATGGTACTGATAAAGTTTATCTAGAAGAAAAAAATGGTTTAACACTAACAGATAACATGTAGAGTGTATGGCTGAATCTACATCATAAAAAAACAAACACCACACTCAAGATATTATGATCAAGTATAAGCATTTACAAGTGGGGAAAAAAATAAATCTTGAGAGAGTTAAGGAAATTGGAAATAAACCATGATAGTATAGCTACAGTAAAGAGGAGATTGGAGATTTAGAACATAGTAAGTTAAGTAAAAATTAAACAATAGATTCAAGAATCAACTAAATTGCTATTATTCTAATAGTAGGAGTATTAGGAACAAATTGGATGAGTTTAGTGCCCAAGTTGAAATGGAAGACTGATATAATAGGAATTACTGAAACTTGATTCAATTTAGAGAACATTGATAAAATGAATTATTTAGAAATTACAGATTGTAAATCATTTAACAGCAATAGACATCTTTAAAAGAAGGAATGATTTGGCTTTCTGTATTAGTGTCACAAGTGGAGTACCTCAGGGCTCAGTCATAGGACCTTTGCTCTTTTTGATTTACATCAATTACCAATGACATAGATGAAGGAATGGTTAATAAATTACTTAAATTTGCTGATGATATTAAGGTTTTGGGTGTTGCTAGCTATGAAGAGGTACCTGCTGCTTTACAAAAGGATTTATATCATTTAGTGATTTGGGCAAATAAATGACAGATGGGTTTTAATTATAATATGTTCCAGATGATGCATGTAGGTTATAATAATTTGTATTATAAGTATAATTTGGATGGTAATAACCTTAATCTGTCATGAAAGAAAGGGATTTTGGTGTAATGGTTGATCAGTCTCTTTTTAGTTAGTAACTGTCATAGACCATCTGTTCAGATAAATAATGTCAATAAGAAATTGTATAATGAGATCAGGCTTGTTATAAGAAGGATACAAATGTCATAATCATTGGAGACTTTAAATTTTTAGCACATGGATTCAGCCCCTTCTTAAGAAAACTATTAATGTAGAAAATGTGATTTGCTAAAATACAAGATTTTTAGGCAAGATTATACTTGAGAAATAAAATATAAAAAGATATAGAGCTCTGTTTTTCAGTAAAATAAACATTTGCAAAATGGTATATTTTACAATAGTTTTAATAATAGCAAATTATATAGACTTTTCTCATTGCTTCAAAGAGATTTTAGGTACAGTTTCTTTCTGCTGATAGTTTGGGTGTATTGTGATTATTTTTGTGGTGATTCAGTATGTGTTTAATTTGTTGTGATTGTAAAATCATTTTCATCATTCAAACATTTAAGTTGCTGATACTAAACTGAATCTATAGTTCTTTTTGTTGGACAACATTAATTGACATATCTTTCTGGGTTGTTTGATGTATACTGTTATCCATGATATTAATTGTTGCAGTTTAAATGTTTATCTCAGTGGACTCAATGGAAAGTATACTGTAAGCATGAAGACTTTGCTATAAGCACTCTGTCAGTATTGTGAGTATTGCATGATATAGGTCTTTTGCTAGAGAAGGCAAATTACTATCATTGGTATCAGTACTGTCTTTTTACTTCGACATTAACCTTATTACAACTTTCTGACTTTCTTAGCTCTTATCTAATGGCATGATGCAAGACTGGGATGTTTATGGTATTGTTGAATATTTTAATAAACATGCTCAGCATATTGCCTTTCACAGTTTCTTTTCTCTCTTTAAATATGAAGCTATGTTGATGACTCATGCAACAAAACAAAGTTCATTGTTAATTTTTAACATAATTCATTGTTTTTCAAATAGAACTCCATGTTTATAATTTTCATTCTAATTAATATCAATTATGTACCTGAGAATGCTTTGTGAAACATCATGGAATACTATTCACTTTTATAGTGTCTTTAATACAAGTTAGAAGACTGAAAAATTGTTTAATACAACAATAGCTCTCTGAAAATCAACTTTAGATTTAGTTCTGATGAGCTTTTGTGAATGTTCAAGCTAAAGAGTAGCATCACTGTGATATTTTCTGTCAGTTTAAAGGAAATTTTTATTTTTTATATATCAAGACAAAAAATCTCAAGAAACTGCAATATTAAGAATATTATCTTATTGCTGCACTAAGTAGTCCAAAAACATTATTTAAAGATACTGTGTGGCTTAATATAAATGAGCTATTAAATTTACAGTTAATTTTCTTTTATGATTTTCATTTGCTCTTGTTAAGGTAATCTAAATTAGCAATATTACATCTGTGATATTCGTGGATGGGACCAATTTCCCAATAAGTATACCTGCAATAGTAGAAGACTCATTCAGGATTATTAAGAGTGTTTCTGAGAAGATATTGACTAAGTATTTTCTTTTAAGAATAGCATAAAGAAGTTAAATTACTTTATTTATCAGATGATTAAAAATCTTTATTGTACTAATAAACAAAAAAAAACTGAAACAATTCATGCAATCTTATAGATGACGGGTCAGTCCTTTCTTCTCTAGTTGGTATTTAGTCTTCTTAGGATTTGATGCACCAAAACCAAACACAGTGACTTTATAAAAAGAAGAGCAGGTCTTTCTTGTGGATTGACTAGTAGAGAGATGAATTAATAAGTGTGTTCAAATCTACAATGAAAACTTGTGTTCTTTGTCCAATGGATGGCCTCACCTCTTGATCTCTGTTCCCTGACAGCACTGGTTGATTGTCACTTTCAGTCAGTGCTATGATTGGCCTGCCAAGGATATCTTAGTTATAACCCATTCAACCTAGATTCATTATACATTACTGAAACATCTTTGTGGGTGGAGGAGATGTCACCTACTAAAGAATAAAAGTCAAATAAACTAGAATAAGGCAAAGTTAACAACCATCTGGACCACTTATTACTACAATGAAAATGTAGAAACTAAACAATCAATAATTTGGAAAATGTCTGTTTTTTTACTTTAGAAGGTAGAAAACCCAGGATATACCCATATATTACACATATGAGATCCAATGAAACTAATTCCAATATGATATATTCCCTTTTCTCACAGAACATCTTTTTCCAAACTTGTACTGCCCTTGATATGTGTGAATTTTCACTCACCACTAGCCTTGATACTCCCACCTATCCTAACATGTTTTCACATGAGGCATTTGCATGATAATATGCAAATGAGCATATGACAAACCTCCACCAATAGGAGTGCAACAAAACTCACAGCACAGTTCAAAATCACTTCTTGTTTGGCACTTGTGGTGTTAAGATGTGTTTTTCATTCATCCTTTTTTTTTACAAAATTTTCAATCAGTTCCTTGTTGGGTTTTTGAGGAGATGCAAAATTGCCAACTAAACATTAATTGTACTTTTTGGGAGTAAACATGCATAATTTCACATCTTTATCTTTTCACTTATAGTTTATTTTTAAAGTTTTATTTTCCTCTCCTGTTCTATATTTTTCATTATGTATGTCAACACACATCAACAAGTGCTTGCGGGCAATGTTACGTTAACTTTGGCTGTTAGGTTTAGCCCCTCTGACATAATATTTCTTGCACTCATAAGTTCCTCAAAGCTGTGTTGGTAATTCAATGTATAGTATAATTTTAAAAATAATTAAATATTTCAAGCAAAAATCTTAAAACACAAATAATACATAATTAACTAAAATCTAAATGCAATCTAAATGTCTATCAAACTAATACATTTAAGGCAAGAGAAAATTGACAAGCACTATGGACAATGCTCTCAACAATGAACTTAGCATCATTATAATTGCACTGAAAGTATATCTATATCATATGTGTCACGTAAAGATAAATGATCTTGAAGGCCAAAATCTGCTCTTTCTATTGGTTATAAGCATGCCATTCAATTTAGAACAGTCGCTAAGTGACCCAGCTTCTACTTTGCAAGTGGGTGTGGCATAATTTTCCTTATTGGTTTTCCATTTGTCTCAAACTTCTCCTAAATATTCTCCCATATCTTATTCCACTTTTTCCCTCTTCTTTACCTGTTCCTGCTAAACAGGCTTCTGAAGTTACTTGTCAGTTCTTTTGGCAATAACTTCAGCACCCCTAGCAGTCCTGGTGACTATGTGGTGAGCTTTATAAGATCAGTGGAACCTCATTCAGGATCCCTTAGATGCCCCTATCCGTTTCTCTTCTTCCCTTCATGTGGATTTTGCCTGGTGGTTGAACAGAGACAACACCACAGTAGATGTTCCTCCTTCTCCTCGTCTGGAGATCAACCTTTTTATAAATGTTTCACCTTTGAGTTTGTGTGCATATCTGGACACACAGGAGATTTTGGACCATTAGTCTATTGCAGAGTCATCTCTTGGAACTGCTTGCTTTGGTGCACTTCCTACCATCTCTCCTGAAATGGTCAGTTTGGATCCATTCTGGCAATTTAAAGGTTGTCTCATACATCACTCGGCAAGGGGGCACTCAGTTGAGGTCTCTCTGTTTCCACACATTGGACCTCCTGTTTTGGGCCCATAGCCATCACATTCAGTTGTTGGTGTCGTCCTATACTAGGTGCCCTGAATCTGGTCGTGGATCACTTATCACTCTCCAACAAGATTCTTCTCACAGAGTGGTCCCTCAACCCACAGATACTTGACTGGCTGTGTTTACAATAGGGTACACTGGAACTGGGTGTATATGCCACCCATCTGAATTCTAAACTTTCCAGATTTTGCCTTCTAATTCCGCATCACATTACCTCTATGTTTTTCCACCCCTCCATCTTCCTCATGTTCTCTCACTCATACAAGCCACTTAGTGTCACATCCTCTTGGTGGCACTCTATTTTGTGTGGCACAGCTGTTGTTTCCATTTCATCAGCCACTCCTACTGACACCTCGTCTTTCTCTACACCTCTCATCCATCATTCTCATAAACCTTAATTGAATGCACTACATCCTTCCCTTCCAGTGCTCCATCTTCATGTGTGGCTTTTGTGCAGTGTATTGCCAGTCAGGCCAGACTTTCCCAGTGGGTTGCTTCCCTGATTTTCCATTCCAATTTGTCCTTCCTCCATGTCAGTTTACCAGTGTAAGTGGTATGCGTACCACTGCTGGTCTTCTCATCATGGTTTTCCTCCATCCCATCCTACTCTTCCACACCTGATTTCTGTCTTTACCTAGCTTTTCGACAAGGGACTTTCAGTATCTATGATTGCTGGTTATCATGTGGCATTGTAAGCCACTTTCCATTTCACAAGATTTCACTGTGTCTTCACTTTTCTGATTCTCACCCTATTGTTTTGTTCCTTCTGCCTTTGCTGTCACCACATCCTACCTGCATCCCTGATTCGAACCTTAGTGTCATCCACCATGCCCTCACCCTTCTTCCCTTCAAACCCATGTCATCCTGTTCCTTATATCATCTCTCCTTAAAGACTTTTTCCTACTACAATTGGTGTGTGGATGTTGATGTTTTTATTTTGTTTTTGCTTTTGATATTTCTCTCACTTTATATCACAGGGTCTATGCCATCCTCTACCTGGATCAGTCTTTCCTGCCCAAAACATTGGTCTCATGTGAGGGCAATTTTGCTTTCACTCCTATTTCTCACCTTTATCATTGTTCCAGTCCATATTGCCTCTTATGTCCTGTATGGGCTCTCTGTTGTTATGCAGCCCACACTGCTACCTTCCGTGGTTCACATTCCTGTTTGTTCATTTATTGGAACCCTTCCCTTTCCTGTGATGTTTCTCCTATTACCCTTATAGGTTGGATTCACAAGCAGATTCATTTGCCTTATTCTTCCCTGTCTCCTTATGATTGTTGTCTATTCCAAGTCTCCTCAAATCAAATCTATCACCTTACCATGACCCTGGCTGCCTGATTCTACTAGAGGATATAGTTTATGCTGCCATGTGGACCTCTCCCCATACATCTATTTCACATTATCTTCATCATCAGCCTGTTTTCTGTTCTGCAGGTTATTGTCTACCTTCCATTGTCATCTTGAGCTCCACGGTTTCTCTATGAGAGGTTAGGTGTTCTTTTTTTTACTTTTTTCTTTATAGAGGCTTTTCTTGCATTTACAGATCCTGCTCAGTGACGACTGTTACCTGACCATATATAATTATTCTTAAACCTGCACTATATGACCATTCAGATCAATAACATCCACTGTTGAGATGTGATGTTCAGTAAGACCACTTGTAAATTTTCCTTGTGGTGTTTTGCATCAGAAATATATTTTCCCCAGGACCGTACACTCCTGGACTAACACGAGTAAAGTAGAATGGTATTGCCACCCATCCCTGTCACTCCTTTGTTTGGCTGTATCAGGAATGGACTTCTTTTCAACATAACATTTTGCAATAACATGTTGCACTGTTTCCAGTGCTGTGTTCCTCTGTACTCTCCTGAGTGTGCTCAATTCCATTTCGTTGAGAGCAAGGCAGTGGTGTTCTATGAGTATAGATGGTGTATAGATACTCCTACCATAAACCTGATGTACTGTTCCCGATGCCGCCTGGTTATGGACTGGACAATTTCTGCCACCATGAAACTCCCCCTCTGGCTGGGCACCCTCTTTTTTACTGTCACATTGCTGTCTGCCTTCCTACCATCATCCTTTTCCTACCATGGGCCAGATATTCCTATCACAGTTCTATTGGTGTTGGTTGAGCTTAAACTCTCCTTTACACGTCACTGCACCCTAGCCACTCTACACCAGGGGACCCTCCTATGTTTCTGCCCTTATTGCAACACATCATTTTCATAGAGAGAATACACTGGGCTCAAAAGTGGTGTAGTCTCCTATGGGTGTGTCTTACCTACTCTTTATTCACACACCCCATGAGATTTCTTGGGCACTTTCTGAAGGGGGCTCATCTAGATAATGGTACACAGGTCACTTCACCAGGTCAGTGTGGGATTTAAGTTATTCTGTGAGAGGAGGAAAGATATTAGATTGGAAATTAACATTTTCGTCACTTTAAATGTATTTCTGATAGATTCCTATCTCCTGTCACCTTTCCCTCCCTTCCTCTCCACATCTTAACGCCACGAGTGCTAATCGAGAAGTGATTTTGGGCTAAGCTGCATAGAGGGAGTCAGCTGTGCTGAGAGTTGTGCTCACTTGCATGCTATCACAGAGCTGCCTTATATGAAAACATATGAGGGTAGGTGGGAGAATCAAGGCTAGAGGTGAGCAAAAACTTGCACATATAGAGGGCAGCACAAGTCAGGAAAAAGCTATTCTGTGAGAGGAGGTAAGAATCTATCCGAAATACATTTTCAGTGTAGGAAAATGTTAACATTCATTTTCTAAGGATTTTTAGTTTTTTGAAATAATTTAATAATACATTATTGATAATCTTAGTTTTAATACTGAAATATTCCTGACCATCATGTTTTATTGTATTGTTCTTACTTTATGTAATATATAGTTATTGACTATAGTTTCAGCCAAAATTTAAACTATTTTAATTCCCACTGTTTTTAAAGAAAGTATTAAGGCCAGACCAAAGAAGAGAATCAACAAAAGTCAGTGGTCCTCCTAAGACATCTACAGTCAAGGTATGAATTTTTATTGACATTGTATTTGGAGTTATTCAGTGTTAGATATGTTGTGGATTTAGTCATTAAAGGGTTACAGAAAAAAAACCATAGTTTTTCAATGAATAGAATAATCTTGTATTTTTTCCATATAAATGCATGCATGCAGAGTGTTTATGAAATAGCTTAAGATTATGTCATGAATATTTGAACAAAAGTTTGTATATTTATAATGATTTAATCTGTGGGCATTTGTAGATGCCCTGTATTGCTGTTGTTTGAAATTTTGTTTGTGAGACAATATTTTGACTTATATAACATCAGAACCATAAAATTATATGCATCTGTGTTTATATATATATATATATATATATATAAAATTTTAGTCTTCCTTCTGTGTACATGCTATCTGTTTTCTGCTTTAGTTGTTCATTAAACACTGAACTGCAGAAACATCTGGTGAATCTATAATTCTTTTTGGATAAGTATTCATATTAAAATGTCAAGTCCTTTAAGCTTGTTTTTATAACCCCATATGTATTTACATTATGTGTAGCTTTGTATCTATAGGTCAGATACTGTAGTATAGACCTATAGGCCAATATACTCTTAATAATCCATAAGCTTTTTACAAAGATTTGTCAGTCAGTAGAATGAAAAAGATTGAGATCCACTGCATTATTCAACAGTTATGGAACAAAAATACACATATTTATATGTTTCAGTGACAATCAATACATTGCTGCAGCATTCACAAAGAAAAGTCTGATTTTTTGTAAAAACATATATATATGTGTGTGTGTGTATATATATATATATATATATATATGTGTGTGTGTGTGTGTGTGTGTGTGTGTATGTGCAATTTATATATATATATATTACAATAAACTGTCATTCTCTAAATAATTCCTTGCAATAGTTAGTGTATTTATTGTTGAATAAAAGAAATATAATAGCCAAATCTAATTATAAAGCAGTTATTTCATTTACAGAGGTTGAGTATGTTATATTAACACCATTTTTGGAGCTTCACCAAATCTTAACAGTCCATATCATGTTCTTCTGATGACCATGTCTTGTCAAGTCCTCTAGTATATTTTCCATTTCAAAAGACTACATCGCAAGGCTGCCATGTCCAAAGCACACTATTCCTCTCAAAAGGTTTTTCGCAATACGTCTAGTGTATAAGTATGGCAGTTTTCCATTGCCATTTTCAACAGTCTGATCACACAGAAATCCATAAACACTGCATTCTGCAACTTGACCATTATGTTTTGATATAGAATAGTATGAATACCCAATTCATTATCAAGCTGCTTCAGATGTGCAACAGTTGAACAAGAAGAACAACTGGAAACCTTATCTTGGTGAGCCCATATGCTGTTTTCCTCATTTCCATACAAAGCTAGTGTTTCTGTGTGGTACGAAGAATCCATTATTCAGATAGTAAGTAGAGTTCACTTTGACCATTATATCTACTTTTCTGATCCCTAACTTACCCCTAGCACAGCATTCAACAATCATGAATCCCTTCCATTGACCAGTAAACAAGGGCACAATACTTGTTACAGTTGTCAAGATATGCATATGCCTTGCCAGGTGTTTCCACATTCTGCCATTATTTCCTGTCTTGATACTGTTCATTCACTTTTTTGACAGCTTTTTGGCTTCCTTTCCTGGATATGTCATGGAAGCAACTTGTGTACATGTGACTTGTATGACTTTTCCAAATCATAATCTTTCTTGGTTATGTTGCAAAGTATGTAGGGGGCTATTGCCACTCATCTTTATGTTCATGGATTTTCCTGTTAGAAGATGCCACACTTTGCTTACCACATCTGGGGTACGACTTGTTGCAGGTCTCTTTGTGGATGGCCCGGGCATCCCAAGGTGGTCTATATTTCTTTTTACTTTTTCCAATGCCATTAAGTAAAATGGATATCTCCTTCTTTGGAAATTTGAAATCCCCAATCTGAACATATATATTTTGTTTTCAAAAGGACTGTTACATACCCTTCCCAAAAATGATACATTTTTGGTGGCATCACACTACTGTACCTACAAAATGCTTAACAATGTCAAAATATAGATCTGAGCATGTCTCTCCTCCACAACTTTATATTGGCTGTGGTTGTCAAGTGACTTACTGATTTTGATATTCAAAAGTGTTTTAATATAATGTACTTAACTCTCTGTATTTAATTATGTGACTGCTATTGTGCTCTTTTAAAATCTGTGTTTCACCACCTTAAAAACCTACAAATCCTTGTTAAAAATATTTTATTTTTTGGGGGCTAATTATTTTCATATTTGATTTATTTAAGTGTTTAATTTCCAATTTTATCTATAGAAATAATGTTTCACTATAATAACTCATCTATATTTTATTTTGCATTGACTAAATTATAAATCCTTTTCTTACCTTGTGTAATTAAAAAGGGTGAAGATGATGAATCTTACTTTCCAGAGTGGAATGAAGAATGGACAGATGTAAGTTTTTAATTTGAAAGTGAATAATAAATATAGAATTAGATATATATATTGGCACTTTATATCATTTTCAACGATATATTTTCAATGCTCTATATAAAGACCCAGTAAATGCATTAAGCAAGTAATATTTGAAAAAAAAAAAAAAGAATAGGCTACTAAAAGCAATTTTCTGGACTTTGAACACTCTCACACTCAAATTATATGTTATTATCTTATCCCAAATTCAGCCTTTTCATTTTGAAACACCTGTAAGATGCTCTAATATTTTACTATGACTGAACTTGAAGGATTTAAATATTGGGTTTATAAATCGAAATTTTGTAATCTAATAAACTGATCCAATAACTTAATTTCAAACTTTGGTAGCCATTTTTTGTTTGTAACATTCATTAGGTATATAATCCAACACCACTGCTTTGAAAATGTGTCTTTGTTTGGAACTGTTAGTTTATAATCTAATAATACCCAGTACTAACTATTTCAATAATGGTACAGTGCTACATCATGATAGATAATTTCATTATACCTAGGTTTATTTGTCATGTTCATCTGGTAACATGTTTGTGACTGTTGTTATTGGTGCAGTTTGTTTAGATTTATATAAATATTATCTCTGTGATATCAGTATATTAATTTTTTGTGTGTATGCAATTTGTGTTTTGGTATTCTTAATATCCTCGCATAACTTCCTATACCAAAATGGTATAAAAGATAAATGAAACGAATTGTTTACAAAGATTGTTTGTTTTGTTCCTTGAAATGCTAGTATTTAATAATTAGTTTAATACTCAGTAATCCATCCCAAAAAATCCATGAAATTTTAAAATGTAAATCTGACTTGAAGTAAGTATGAAAACTTTTGATAAATAAGTTTGAAACTGATCTTAGCTAGTTAGCATATCTTATCTTCAATCATTTTTTTGTTTAATAATAGATAAATTTTTAGAATCTTTTGTTTCTTGAGTAGCCTTCTGAGGCCTAATGTTGATGGTAAAGTAGTATGTTTATAATCAGACTTTTTTCTTTGTTAGGTAAATTAGATAACATTATTTTAACTGCATCCAGTTGATAATCTTATAATAAAATCAAAAATGTTATATGTGAGATTTTTTTATGTGAATAGAATTATCATATTTACTGTTCATAGAAGAAGACCATTTTGAAACCAGTTGATCAGGTTCCATTATCTGAAGAAGTAAGTGTATTTTCTTATGCAAAAATTTCAAATAAGTTTAGTTTCTAGAAGTTGCAGAAATACTACCTAACAGAAATGTTGGGCTAATTTGACATCTGCATAACAATGTAAATAAATGCATAGAAAAATATATTTAATATCCATATTGAATAGAAATTGGTATGTCAGTTCTAATTAAATATTGCTATAGCATCAGTGTCTTGAAAGAAATTTGTAAAGCAAAGTGAATGGAAGTTGGAAGCTATTATTTCAAATGATTTATTTTTATTGTTGAATTGTTCATAAATTTTGAGCTATTAACTTTTGTATAAGAAAAGCAAAAATGAAAAGGCACTTGAGGACACCAGTTTAGATATGTATTTATTCTTGATAACAAACAACCTGCCTACATTGTCAGGAATCCAAGTAACTGTAAAATAAAATTAATGAGAAAATGCTAGTGACTCTTTAAATGTATTTTAATTTTTAAAAAATAAACTCCATTACTGCATAATTATATATAATTATGATCCCCATTTTAATAATTTATTTTTTAGTTGCCTCTGTTTTAAATTATAAAATATTTTGTTCTAATTCTTTGGATTCTTTTAGTTTTTTATCAGTAAAACTGTTGATAACAAAAGCCTTTATTTGTTTTAAGAAAAACGTAAATGTAAGTATATTCTATCCTGCATACATTTTTGTAGAGTTATGCAAATTTTCTTAGGAAATAAATTAAAGTTTCTAATTCAAAATGACTACTTGGTAAGAATAACTACTGTGTGGAAGATGTTATTGTTACAATTAAAAGTTTCTATATACTGTTGATGTGCTTTTAAACTCCTGAGGTTTAAACTATCTGTAGCATTGCAATTTTCTATATATTGTTGATGTGCTTTTAAACTCCTGAGATTTAAACTGTCTGTAGAGTTGCAATTTTTGCTGCTACAACTACAACCACAGTACTGTGATATGTAGGTATCATAACTAAACCTCTACCTAACTTAACCTATGAATATTTTACTTATAAAACGTTTTTTATAATTCTAGTACTTTCCTGTTTTTAGTTATAAATTCCAGACAAAGAAAAAATGTACCTAACCTTAAACTCCCTAATTTTGACCTTAGGGTTTGTCTTCCCATGTTCACATGTGCATGGCTAGATCTTTTCTATTATGGTGCCTGGATTTCATGCTCAATACCCTTTTAAATGAGTATCTGACTCTCAGAAGGATATCTAACATGTTGGTGATATGCAAGGATAAAGAAGTTCTAAACTCTTGTTTCACCTTCTCTACTAATGAGGCTTGCCTGTTGACATAGAACTCTAATTTTTAGCAGAGCTTAGGATTGAATGTAATCTTATGTGAGGTATTTTTTTCTTAGATTTTGGCCTGATTTTCATTTGGTATTATAATTATATTAGACTTATTTGCCAACAACAGGCAACAATCATTAACACCATAACAATTCACTTATATAACTAGTGTTCTGATACAATATCTTACCACTTTTCACAAATAGCTTTTCTTGACTTATACTGCACTCTGTATGCACAAATAAATTTTTGCTCACCACTAGCGTTCATACTCGCCTATACCCTCACGTGTATGCAGATGACACATCTGCATGCTATTGTGCAAATTATCATGCTGACCCAATACCAAAAGGAGTAAGACAACTCCCAGCACAGCTGACTCCCTCTATGTGCCGTCTCTTCCGTGCAGTCCGTAATCACTTCTCACTTGGCAGTCCTCCTGTTAGGATGTGTTTTCACTTGTGATATCCTACTGATTGTTTCTATTCTAGAGTTTGAGTTGATTAGTTGCATGTCTTCATTTTTGCATTTATTAATTCATTAATTTCTTGCTCATATTTGGAGTGGCATTTCAAACATTTTTTTTTCGATTTTTAACATGCGTTTGGAGGTTCAATTGGCATCAGGGTAAGCTTTTTCTGCTAAAAATATAATGGCTCTGTTTGAAAGGAGTTGACTGCCTTGATGTCCTCTATAACCATGTGTAGGTATGCCTGAACATGTGGTTGTGAATTTTGACAGCTTGTTCCCTCATCCTACCTATGCCTCACTGTTGTTTGTTTTGGGGGAGGCCTTCTTCTTCCTTTGTCGACATGATTTACCTTTGATTCCTCACCTGCTCTTCTGAGTGTCATGCTCTTGTGCTAGTATCTAGTGTTTCTACTCCCTCACCATATATTGGGATTCATGCGAGTTGTTTTAGGAATGAGTTACGTTTGGAAGTTGGTATGCCATGGCCCACATGTTCTCTGGCAAACCATGCTTTGATATAACACCACTCTGCATTTCCCTAATTAGACTCTCTGTGTTTTGACTCGCTTGGCCCTTTGGGGATTTGGATCTGAATCCTTTGGCTACTTTTTCCCAACATTCTTTTTCTTGTTTTCCACATGGCATGTCTCTCCTCATGCACCCTTTCCTTGCTAACATGGCTCCTCTATTGTTGGAACCTTTTTGGATTTGGGATTCTCTTTTGTTGCAGGTACATTTGCCTCCCTCCTCATTGTATGTTTTGCACATGGCTTCTTTCCTGCACCAGGAGGTTTTTGGGGGCATTCCTGATTCTTTGGTAATCTTTAGTCAGCATGGTTGCATACATTTCTGTTTTCATTGGCCTCCTATTTATCCCTACCCCTTCTGAGCCTTTTCCTGTGTCTTGTCCTCCTCTTTTCTCTCCATTCAGGTTCCTACCTCTCGTATTCCTGCAGTTCACTTTTGGTACTTGTGACATCCTTCTGGAAAAACTGATGGTCTTACAGACTACATAGTGGGGGCTGGGTCTCTCTGCTTATCTCACATCTGGTGGTCCTTTATCATGGACCCTTGTGTTTTGGGGGTTATCTTAGAAACAATGGGATTTCACTCCTGGTCTATAGAAGACGATTCTGTATGGTTTAGTGATCTCCCTTTACTTTCTCATCTCCCCTGTATCCTGACTTTACCTTAATTTTGTTCATTGGGGTTGTGTTTTTCTGTTCTAGGCTCATCTGTTCAGATTTCCCTTGGCTTTCAATGTTTTTTGTTGGGTGTCCTGTGCATTTGTCTTTCCCAGGACCCTTGTTTCCACTGTTACATGGACAGCTAGCTACTTCTAGCTCTTTTACAGGCCACCTTTGCACTTCATACTCAGTTCAATTCCCTCATCAGTTAGGTCTAACCTTTTCCCCTTTGTTTGTGGGTTGTGAAGTTACTGATTTTAAACTTATCCTCCTCTACTTTTCCTACTGCTTTAGAGGTTCTATCTTTTTTGAAAACATTCTCTGGAAGCACTCATCGCTTTTGATTGTGCCTACATGAATCGCCTTCCATGGACTTTGATGGACCACTGGAGACTCATTTGGGATCCCTTGGATGCTTCTCTCTTTCCTCATACACCATCTTTGCCTGGTCGTTGTATCGAGACCACACCACTGTTGGTGTTCCTCCTCCTTGATTGGAATGCCACATTTTTATGGATGCTTCTCTTTCCAGTTGTAGTGCTTACCTAGATGCTTGAGAAGTTTCAAGAGAATGGACTCTCTCAGTGTCTTCTCTCCATATCAATATCTTGGAGCTCTTTGCCATTTGTCGGACTTTGGTTCATTTCCTTCCATAACTACAAGACCATTTAGTGATGGTGCATTCTGACAACTCGACAGTGGTCTCATACATCTCCAGGCAAATGGGCACTCAGTTGAGAGACCTTTGTTTTGGGACATTGGACCTCCAGTATTTGGCCCACAGCCATCAGCTTATTTTGTTGGCTTGTCATATTCTGAGTACTCTGAATCTTAGTTCATTGTGGATCATTTATTACTTCCCAACATAATTCTTTTTAAAGAGTGATCATTGAACCCACGGGTGTTTCAGAGGCTCTGTGCTCAGTGGGGTGTTCCAGAGCTGGATGCCTTTGCTACTCATCTCAATTCTCAGCTCCCAAGGTTTTGGTCTCCCATTCCACATCTTTTGGCTGGAGCAGTAGATGCTTTCAGTCAGGATTGGTTGGGACTATACCTTTGTGCCTATCTACCCATTAATCTGATTCTCCAGGTTCTTTCCATCATCCAGACCACTCCATGTTGGATTCTGTTGGTGGTTCCATATTGGGTGGCTTAGCCATGGTTTTTCCACTTCCTCTCCCTTTTCTCTCCATCCTCCTTTGTCAGCCTCAGTCCAGCATGCATCAACCACCTGTACTCCAACTCAGGCTTCATATGTGGCTTTTGCCCAGTTTCTGGCCTTGCAAGCCAGACTTGCAGCATGTGGCATCCTTGATTTCTCATTCTGTATGTCCTCCCTCCATGGCAGAGTACCAAAGAAAGTGGTACATGTACTATCATTGGTCCATATGTTGTGGTTATTCTCCATCCCATCTGATCCTTTCTAACCTGGCTTTTTAAAAGAGGCTTTTCAATCTCCTCTGTTGCAGGCTATCTTCAGCTTTGTCAGCCACATTTCATTTGACATTTATGCCCATGTTTTCAGTTCACCAGTCCTGTCCCTTTTGTTCCATTCCCTCCTCATCTTCCAGCCTCCTCACCATGCCTCTCTCCTGGATTGGATGATGCTTTTCCTTCTCCTGTTAGCATGCTGACATCGTCGTACAGAGGTGTTTACTATTGATATTCACTACACTTTGTTTCACAGTACCTGTGTGGTCAGCCTGACATAGCCAGGTAGTTAGGGCACTCGACTCACAGTCTGTGAGTCATGGCTTCGATTCCCCATCCCACTAAATATGCTTACCCTTTTAGCCATGGAGGCATTATAAAATGAGAGTCAATCCTGCTATTTGTTGGTAAAAGAATAGCCCAAGAGTTGGTGGTGGATGGTGATGACTAGATGCCTTTCCTTTAGTCTTTTACTGTTAAATTAAGGATGGCTAGCATAGATAGCCCTCATATAGCTTTGCACAAAATTCAAAATATACCAAACCTATGTGGTCCTTTTCCCCAATCGTTCTTTTCTGTCCAAAACTTTGGCTTCTTAGGAGGGTAATTCCACCTTCACACCATAAATCGTTTCCTTCCATAACCCACTTTTATGTCCTTTCTGATCCTGATCGTCTCCTTGGTCTGGTCAGGGCTCTATGCTGTTACATGGCATGCATTGATTCCCTCCATGGTTCCAACTCCTTCCCAGTCTCATGAACTTTCTCCCATTACCCTTACAAGTTGGATTTCCTATTTAATTCACCTTGTTTATTCTTTCCTTTATTTCCATCATCTATTGGAGGACATCATTAGCAATGGTATGTGGACCATTCCTCATACCTTTACTGCTCTTTATCTTCCCCACCTAGCCATTTCTTCTTCTGTCGGGTTTTGTCTTCCTCCTGTTACTATTTTGTACTCCAGAATGTCTCTTTGAATGGGTAAGTGCTCCTTTTTTTTCCTTTTATTTTCTTTGCAGGGGACTTTGTCACATAGTTGGATCCTCCTCAATGGCAAGTGTTGCCTGACCAGATATATGTATTCTTAAATCTGCACTGTAAGACCTGTGTGTCATATACAGCCCCCCCCCCCTACTGTTCGTAGGATGCCTTGTGGTATTTTGCTTCATAAAGATGTTTGTACTGGACTAACATGGGTAAAGCAGACAGGGATTATTGCCAATCCCAGATGATCCATGTACTGTAGATCACAGGATCGTCCTGCTTTTCAAAATAAGGTATTGTGGTCACCCATTGCACTGTCTCCAGTGCAGCATTCCTCCGGACTCTCCAATGTGCTGTTTGCCCTTTCTTCTTGTAAAGTATAGGAGTCCTTGCCACTTACCAATTCCTAATTGCTGGGTTGGTGGACCATGTAGGCTTCCTCCTGAGTGTGCTCAGTCCCACTCAGTTGAGAGTAAGCCAGTGGTGTTCTGCTGGTGTAGATGGCATTGACACTCATCCTATCAAAGACCTGATGTACAATTCCACATGTCAATAGGTGTTGGATGATGCAGTCCACCAACATGCAGTTTGCCCCTCTAGCTGAGTCACTCTCCTTCCTACCATCCCCTTGATGTTAGTCCCCAGGAGATATGGTAATGATTAGAGCTGGACCAGCCACATAAGTCCTCACATGTGAGTGGCCCAGTTACCCATGGATTGGACCTGGTTTTGGACTGGAGTTGAACTACTACATTGTCTACCTTCCTACCGTCATCCAGATGTTGGTTCTTGATGGATATGGTCATGGTTGTGTTGGATGTGCACACATGATAATGCATATCATTGGTACAGAGTCTCATCTTCACTACCAATTCCTATATCAGAGGTGAAAGGTAGAGGACCCTCTTCCTACCATGGTCCAGATATTCTGGCCATAGTTCACCTAATGTTGGTAGAGGTCGATCTCCCATTTACGGTCAGGTGCACCCTAGCCAATCTACACCTGGAATCCCTCAATTTTACAGGTGTGTGGCCGGAGACACTCCTCCTACCATGGACTGGATGATACATTCCTGATACTGCTTGGTGTTGAACTGGAGATGCATCCCCACTTTCCTCTCCACCTTCCTACCATCCCCTAGATATCAGTTTCTGGCAGATATGGTAATGGATGGGTTGAATGTGCACCTATGTTTAAGTTGGGGAGGTCCCTCCATTGTTTCTGCCCTTACTGCGACACAATTTCAGTGTGGGCATAAGAACATTACCTGGGTTTTAGAAGTGGTGCGAGGATCCTACTAGGTTGTTGTCATTCTTGTTTACTTTAACCCTTTCCCGTCC